CCCCCGACGCAGCTGAGGGCGGCACCGAGGCGGGCACGTCGCACTTTGGCGCAAGTGTCGCCAAGGACGCCGTGGCACAGACGGATATCACGACGGCCAAGGACTACGACTGGACCTACTCGACCACTTGGGCTGGATCGGTGGGCGATGTGGCTCCCCCGCCACTGCTGTCGGAGACGCCAGAGGTTCCCTCGTCGGCTGGGTTGAAGCAGCTTGTTGTGCCAGAGAAGCGGGGGGAGAGGGAGTGGTTTGGGCCGGGGACCGACCCGGCGCGCGACCGCATCCCAGTGGAGAGGCTGGGTGCGTCGAGCGGCGAGCCGATCCTGTTCTACGACGACATTGTGCTGTACGAGGACGAGCTGGCGGACAACGGGAGCTCGATCGTCAATGTCAAGGTGCGCGTCATGCCGTCGGGCTTTCTGGTGCTGCAGCGCTTCTTCCTGCGCGTCGATGATGTGCTCTTTCGCGTATTCGACACGCGCCTCTACTGCCAATTCACACGGCCTGCCGATGGGACCGCGCACGTCCCGCGTCCGCTCGCAGGCACCGCAGTGCCACGTCCTGCTTCATCGCTGCCAACGGGTCTGGGGCAGCTCAGTTTGGGTGCACCGCGCACCTCGCGCACCAGCCCCAGCATGGCGGGTGAGGCGGACATGGACGAGGGAGAGACGGAGCCTATGCGGTTGATTCGGGAGTGCAGTGGGAGCCAGGCACCGTATGCGCTGGTGCGCTCGAGGCTCCCGCCTTACCGTCCACACGATCTATCGCCACTGACCGACGTGAACTGGGTGTCGTCGACACTCGCCACGATCTCGCGCTCGGCGCTTGCGGCGTACCACTCTGCCGTCGCATCGGGTACGCAGCTCCCACGCATGGCAGACAAAGACGCGCTACCGGGGGCAAAGTTCCTGGCACCCTCGACGAGTGCCTCTCGCTTCCCTGGGGCGGGATTTGCAGGCTCGCGACCGGGGGAACGACTCGACCTCTCGCCTGCACAGGCTCCCACCCACGAGCCCGCACAGGCGCACATTGTGGGTCAGATCGACGAGTCGCCCGAACACGAATGGCCAGGCTCAGGCGCCCGTGTCGACATTGCCCTGCTCAAGTCCTAGCTTGCAATCAACCTCGCGCATCCTGACTCAAATTTGTGCGTAATGTGTGTGTGGTGTGGATTTAGCGTACATCGATGGGCGGCTCAATGAACGGTACAAGCCCCCATTCGAACGATGCGCTTTCGAACGCTTGAATCACGGTATCGGTCAAATCACCGCGACTGGGCACGTCGCTCTTGTAGGGGTCTTGGACTTTGTCCGTGCCGAATGCGCCCGAACCACCGAATGCTGATCCTGCACCGAAGGCCGATCCAGACTGCTGGCCGAATGCGCTCGCTGGTGCCGCCGGTGCAGATGTGGCTCCAAATGCTGACGTCGCTGCTGGTTGTGCAGGCTGTGCGGATGGCGCAGAAGTGGATGCGCCAAACGTCGACGACGTTCCAAACGCAGACGCAGCAGGCGGTGCGGTGCCCGCTCCAAACGCGCTCGTCGCCGGTGCAGGTGTGGCCGCGCCAAATGCAGACGCCCCAAACCCACTGCTAGCTGGTGGTGCAGCCCCAAACGCCGTCGAACCCTGCTGCATCGAACCTTGCTGCTGTGGTTGCTGCTGTGATTGCTGCTGCTGCTGTTGTTGTTGTAGCTTTTTCTTCTCTTCCCTATTGCGCAGTGCCTGCTGCATGGCCGCATTGGAATTCGCGCTGAGCTGTCGATACGCCGCATCCGCCTCGCCAAACAACTTCTGTTCATGCTGGGCATACGCTGCGTCCTGCCCGCCAGCACGCGCCTGGTAGGCCATAACCCTCAACTCGTCTGGACTCACATCCTTGCCCACCACCAGATTCGGCTCGCCTCGCGCGGGACCGTACGCAGACAGCTTCCACAGCGGCCGCCCCTGCGCGCCCAAGTCCTCGGCGATCCCCGCGGCAGTCAGCGTGACTTCGGGCAGGTTCGAGTCGCCGTACTGATTCGTGTGCGACGCAAACGGCGTCGCCGCATTCTGCGCCGCAAAGGTCGACACTGCCGGCCCCGCCGAGGCGGCCGCTTGCGGGGTGGCGGGCGCGGCCCCAAATGCCGACGGTCTTGCTGCTCCGAACGCCGACCCAGGCGTAGCGGCGCCGAATGCCGAAGATCCGAACGCCGACGATGTCGATGTGGACCCGAACGCGGACGGTGCTCCTGAACCGAATGCCGAGGGTGTTGATGTAGAGCCAAACGCAGAGGGCGGTGCTGCTGAGCCAAATGCAGAGGGTGCGGTGCTGGTGCCGAAAGCCGATGGCGGATTTGTCGAGCCAAACGCGGATGTGCTCGGTGTGCTGCCAAAGGCGGACGGTTTGGCCGCCGAGCCAAACGCACCCGGTCCTGAAGTGGAGCCAAACGCCGACGGTGTCGCCGCCGCCCCGAACGCAGACGTGCTCCCGGACGTTGGACCAAACGCAGAAGGGGCACCTGTGGACCCGAACGCAGACGGCGCCGCCGTTGCCCCAAACGCCGAGGGTGGCGCTGCAGCCGAGCCGAACGCAGACACGGGCTTGTTGACTCCCCCAAACGCCGAGCCTGACGGTGTCGAGGTGCTGCCGAACGCCGATCCTCCCGCAGCTGATGCACCGAATGCACTGCCACCTCCAAATGCCGACGGAGCGGTTGCTCCAAACGCACTCGCCCCCGGCTTGGAAGTCGACCCGAACGCGCTGTTATTCTGGGAGCCAAATGCCGACGGCGAGCCAAACGCGCTCGATTGGCCAAATGCGCTACCAGCGCCTCCGAATGCAGATGGACGCGCTGGAGTGCTTGCGTTGCCTCCAAACGCCGACGGCGGCGCAAAGGCGCTCTGACCGAATCCGGATCGCCCGGCGGCGCCGTTCTGCGGATGCTCGAACTTGCAGTTGTTGCCGTACGCGCAGCGGTTCTGCAGGAAGAACTTGCACACCACCATGTTGGCGCGTCAGAACTAGCGTCCGAGGCGATGCGCTGCGGCTGTGCGAATGCAGAGAGGGGTAGAGCGAGAGTTGATGATGGTGGGGGACAGACAAGAGTGGCAGTCGCGCTTTCCTACTGCTGCTCCCACACCCAAAGTGCGGAAGTCGGGCAGCCAACCGCAGCGATATTCTGGGCCGACTCCCGAGATGGCACGGACTGGGCAGCTCCACTTTCTTCTCCACCTCGACAAGTCCGGCCACACGTCCCATCTACAATCCAGCGTCAAACCAGCTGAGTCGCAAGCACCGAGATGGTGAGTCGTGCTCCACGAGGTCGCGAAAGTGAGACTGCCGCTGACGCATGTGTATCGACACGGTATCTCTTTACAGTCGCTGCAATTCCTCAGTGACAAGGAGACGCTTCCGGGCCAGTCGCACTCGTCGCCCGTCGTCTCTGTATGCTGGACGCGGCCGTCCACATCGACAGCAGGCCTCGTCATCTCCGGCGACACCGATGGCCGCATCAAACTCTTCGACGCACACTCTGCACGCGCGTATCGCAGCTTGTCCACCGCACACCACAATGCGGTGCACTGCATCACCGCCAACCAGGCCGGCACCACCGTGCTCACGTCAGCCATCGATGGCACCATCACCGCATGGAACCTCGAGCCCTTCGCCGCGCAAACACCGCCGGGGGATGACGTCGAGCCAGGCGGAGAAGTACCGCTTCTTACGCTGCCCGTCGAAGACGCGGCGTCGCTAATTACAGGACAGATCGACTCGCTTCCCGCATGTCCTGTGGCCGACGCTGCGTTACAAGGAGGCAAGCTGTCCGAGGCATGGCAGACGGCTCTGCACCCTACGCTGCCGTGCTTTGCAGCCGTCGGTGCAGGCGCCACGGTCACGGTCCACGCCACGCCCTCCTCAAGCGACGCAGCGAGCTTCGGGACGATGCTTGGGCGTGCACAGCCTCCGCCGTCACGCACGGGATCCAAGGACCTCTTTGGCCTCTCGCTCGCCTTCCACGCCTCGGGTACACTGCTCGCCGTTGGCACGAACACCGGCCGTGTGCTACTGTACATGCTCACTTGGCCTTCCCCTCAACGCCCCGCCTTGCATCTCGTCGCGATGTTCGCAGACCACCCGGCACCCATTCGCGCCCTGAGCTTTACCGACACACTGTTGCTGGTGGGTTCAGACGACCGCACTGTTAGTGTGCACGATGTTCAGCCGATCCTGACGGCGCCCGAGGTGTTGTCGGACGAAGAGCATGTGCGGTTGGCAGGAACAGTGGCATCCCTCGCCGCGCACAAGGGTTGGGTGCTGGCGCTTGGGGCTCCGGCTGCATCGACGGTGTTCGCGAGCGTGGGCGCGGATAAGACGATCAAGTTCTGGGACCTCGCTTCCGCCACCAAAAGCGCACCCGTGTTCAGCGCCAGCGAGATGAAACCCATCAGAGCATTTGCATTCCAGCCCCGTTCGGGTGAGGAAGACACAGAGGCTACAATGACCCGCTTCGTCACCGCCAGCGAAGACGGCGCACTCCGTTGGTATCGCAGCGCAGGCCTTGGGTAGATCAATCCAATACGCATTCAGAGTGCGATAGATGCATGTGTCGATTGGCGTGCTTACCAACTGCCGTCTTCCGAAAGTCGATCGGTTTCAACCGTATCGTCCCGAGGGTGTTGCTGTTCTGCGTCGTCGTCGGACCAGTCGTCGGGGAACATGGTGGTGCAATCGAGATTGCGGCGCAGGATGGAGCGCTGCTGGTCAAAGCATCGAAAGTACTCGCCGAGCCCACGCAGCGCCAGCATCTGATGCACTGCCGCACCCAACGACCGTGCCTCCTCCTCAGGCTCAATGCCCGCAGCGGCGTTGTTAGGTAGACCGTAGATCCAAATCGGGCCCGAGACGCGCTCGATGTTGACTTCGGCCACGTACCGACGTGTGCCGTCGGCGACTTGCGAGTGGTAGAACGGCTGGTGCCGTCCACCTCGTCGCTGACGCGGTGAGGCGGTTGGAGATGCGGCCCGAGGGGGAGGTAGACGGTCGACGCCCATGTTGACGATCCAGTCTTCCGGCGCCGCACAGTGCGGATCCCATCCAAGGATGCAGCCGGCGTAGCGGTATGTGTGGTGACGAAAGACCGTGCCCACCCGATACCCAATCAGATCCTCCTCATCCCCTCCCTCTGCAACGTCGGACAATGCGTCAGCTTGGCCCGTGGCAAGCGACGGGGCGCGACGCAGTCGCTTGCGTCTGGCCTCTGCGCCGGCGCGGCGATTGACACGCGGCGGCTGGGCATCCTTGACGCGCACCGCCTGCAGCATGCGACGCAGAATCACGCGCACGCTCGCATTCTGCACAATCCCCCCTCCACCATCCTGCTCCTCGCGTCTCGACCAGCTCGCCTCATGACTCGACTCGCTGCCCTCACTGTCATCCTCCTCCCCTGCATCGTGGGCAGGATCCGGGTTCGAGCCATGTTCGATGCCGAGAAAGTCGCGCTCGATCACGTCGACGTCGAGCATAAAGTAGCTCTGCAGGAACGCGGCGATCCAGTCGACCTCGCGCGCGCTCACCTGCGTGTTGAGCCGCAAGAGCGCATTGATCGCCGCGTACTTGGCTGCCTGCTGCTCGTGCTCCGACCAGTGGTCCGCGCGCCGGTACAGATCGTCCTGCACACGCGTCCAATCGTTGTCGACAGCGCGCTCGTCCATCCAATCCCGAAAGCGCTGCGCAGCTGGCACGGCTGGCAGTGACCAACACTCGGGAGAGGTGGTTAGCGAACGCATCGACTCGCCCCTCCATCGACGCACGATGCTCCACGTCGTCTCGTCTTCTGGCACATGCGCTCCACCGATACGGCCCTCGAGCGCTTCCACAACGGTCTTGGTGATGCGGTCGTGCTCGTGAGCATCGCTGCGGCCGTAAATAGAGCTGAGGAATGCAAGGTCGACCCGCGCAAGGTGCGTCCACTGCTGCTGGAGCCGCGCTGATCTCTGTTCCAGCTCGATGCTCCGAATGACGTTCCTGGTTTGGTTGCCAGGCTGCAAGTTCCTCGGCCGAATTTGGGCCATCTGCACGCTGTTGAGGATGTTCCTCGCAGCTCGCTGAACCATGACGTCCGGCGAGGCAGGCCGCCAAAAGTCGTCCGAAGGCGGCACGCCGATCCTGCCGATCCAATTCGTGAGATCGTCGCGATCCAGCACCGCAGGACGCTGGTCCAGCCACGACTGTTGTCTTGCAAAAGCATCCGTGGGTGTTGGCCCGTGTGCGTTGTACGCGACGGTGGTGTGCTCGGTGACGTCCAGCCAGAACATGTCGTGTTGCACCGACGCCAGCGTCTCATCCGGCCGAGGAAGCGGCGCCGAAGTGTCGACCATGACGAACGCCAGGATGCGCATGGGAAAGTTGCACAGCGAGGCGCGCAGGCCGAGGCGTGTGGCAACGCCGCAAAAGATGAGCGTGAGGCTGAGAGGCAGCGTCTCGCGGTTGGTGGTGAAGCAGTGGTGCAGAAAGTGGTTGTCGAGATCGGTGAAGAGATTGTCGCGCGCACCGCGGAAGCCGTGGTCGGCGAGAAAGTCGCAGATGGCCAGCGCCATGTCCTTGGCCGCTGCCACCGCGTCGGGTCCGCTGGTAGCCAGAGTGGACGGATCTGGAAGTCGTTCCTGTAGATACAAGTCGCAAGCCGCCGCAAGCTCATCGAGCTGAGCCTCGACGTACGCCGCGTCGCCTCCACGAAACATGGTGAGGAGCGAGACGGCGGCTTCCGTGTCTGAAGGAACGAATCGGCCTGCCGAGATGGACGGCTCCAGGCGAGGCTCGGGAGTGTCGTGGGCCATGCGCGCGAGTAGGTCGATCTTGTGCATGGCCTGGCGTCGTTGCAGGTGCTCGAGGATCTCCCTGGCGTGGTGCAAGATGACGAGGTGATGGGTGTCTGAGCGCAGTGTGGTGGGGAGGTGCGCCTGGTAGGCATTGATGCGGAAGTCTGTTGAGGCGGTGCGCGTTGGCGATGCCGGCAGACCGTGGGTCGAACCAGATGGATAGCTCGCCTGCGCCTCGACCACGGCGGTAAGGACATCCTTTGCATCGTTTCCGAATCGGCGTGCGAGCGAGGTGACCGCCGGGATGCGTGCATGTGTAGCCTCGACTTGCTGGTAGAGTGTGTCGAGCACCTGCTGATCGATAGCGATACGCTCGATAAAGAGGCGGTAAAAGTCGGGGTCGCCTGCAGCCGATCCTGTCTGTGGCGATTCTTCGAGATGCGCATGCTTTGAATTCAGTCGGAGATAGCGAAACGGCGGGTCTGTAGGTGGGTGTGATGGCTGCGCCTTTTCGAGCCTGGCTCTGCGTGCGTGTGCTTCGAGTTGCTCGATGCGCCTGGTCTGTCGCCAACGGGCAGTCTGACGCTTCTCCTCTCGCTCGGCATCACCTGTTGACCAGCGAATAGCATAGGGAATCTCCCACAGCGCCGGAGCTGTGGCGATGCGGTAGAAGGTCGTGCTGCATTGCAGCGCGTTTCCGAGCGAGCGGCTATCGAGGAACGAAAAGATGTGGTAGACCACCTCGTCTGGCAGGACAGCCGTCATTCTGCTAGATTCAGGAGCCGGTTCGAGGCTTGTACGATGTAAGTGGGAGCGATGCCATTCCGTGCGTGCTGTGGGCTGCTGCGTCGAGGTCGAGGTGGACAGGAAGCGAAGGTCGAAGCCCCTTGTACGCACGGCCGTCGTGCAGCTGCAGCTCCGGCATTCTATCGCACCCTTCTGCCTCCACATCAGCCATGTCGGCCGGCAAAAAGCGCGGTTGGACCCTGACCAGAAAATGAAAAAGAAAAAGAAAAAGAAAAAGAAAAA